ATAGCTAGGCGTCAAACTGGAGGGCTCTTCTGACGCGTTTTGTGCAACAAGCACTTTGCCAAAGGGGTGAAGCCCCCCCCAGAAGACGCCGATCTCGTGCGCCGCATAGAGGGACGGCGCATGCGCGGACACATCATTAGCCGCATATATATATATTAAAATGCCAAAAATAGATTTCTATAAAATGATATATAATATTTTTAATTACAGGTCAGGTTTTTGTGAGTAGCAGCCAAAAATCTACAAGATACGCCCAAAATTGTTCAGTTAGCAAAATCTTTGTTGTTCAGAGTTACGGTAAGTAGTGTAATTAATCCTGTAGAGAAAAAATGTTTTAGCTAAACTTTAACCACTTGTTGACCCGTCACATACCTGGTACGTCATTGATCATTAAGTGGTTGTTCCGGGATGATGACTGCAGCTGCAGGCATCACCCAGTACTGTTTGTTAGAGCTGACAGTCGGCTCTTTTGTAATAGCAATCGGAGTGGCTAATTAGCCACTCAATTGCTATTACAAGCAGCAGGAAAGAAACTTCACTTTTTCAGTCAACATGAACTATTTTTAATCCTTATGTTGCTATCATTAGTAAATACAGAGTAAAATATGTCATATTTACTTTGTTTTACACTTTTTTTTTACATTTATTCAGTTACGTCCTGGCTTACAGACCTAGGCAAATGATGTCCTACATCCCAGGAGTCTTCAGGAGAGAAGGAGGGACTTTCTCAGATAAGCACACCGTCCTGCCTGCATGCCTGAGCTTAGGGGAGATGGATTCCAGAAAGTAAATGCTACATGAATCATCTGCATGATACAACATGAATCAAGATGGCACAGAAAATCTAGGGGTATTTTTCAAAGTGATTTCTCAGCAAAATAAAGCACGGAGACACAGATGGATGAGGGGATTTTGCTTTAAATAGTAAAAATTAATTAAATAGCATTTTTGATTTGTGGTGCTCAGATGCAGCGTAGTGCTGCTTTAACTTTAATGCAATGTGTATCCAAAATTACAATGTTTCTTTTAAATAATGATGGTCACTACTTCCTGGAATTTAGCCAATGTGATTATTGAAGTCAAATAGATTGACTTCAGTTTGACAGATATCAGAGATTGCAAACTGCAAGTGTACCCATCAAACAGAATGGGACCTGTGAAAACTGCACATTGCATAAAACAAGTTGAAGTCTTTATTATAATGTATTTATTCTGCCAGTTTCACCTAACACATCTATCTAATGTGTTGATTTTTTTGTCTCTTTTAAACTAGGAAATGTTTTGTGATAGGTTAAAGATTTATAGTTCCAGCATATGCTTCCATTTTATAACATCAGCATTGAAATAACAATACAAGCAATAGTCTGCCTTTCTGCTAGACACTTCTTTATATATATATATATATATATATATATATATATATATATATATATATAAGTTCATAGTGTTCAAAATGGATACTCTGAAAGGGGGGAAATTGATGAAAGATATTACTGCAGTTCTCTTTATCCACATCAGTCCCAAGCCATTTCTGGCACTTTTTGTTTACATTTTTAAATATGTATTTTTTGCTAGCAAATGTCTTAGAACATCCAAAAACTTTTTTTAAAGCAGTTTTTTCAAACGCAATTTTTGGAAATAAATAAACTTTTTTGTTTTATTGTAAAAAAACACAATACATAACCCAATTTTTTTTGTAAAATATAAAAGACGATGTTTCGCTGAATAAATACATAACAAACATGTCAAGCTTTAAAATTGCACACGCTCGTGCATCGGTGATAAAAAGCGTAAATTTTACTATTCGTAGGTGACGCTTTAAAAGCCTTTACAGGTTACCACTTTAGATTTACAGAGGAGATCCAGTGCTAGAATCACTGCCCATAATCTGACGATCGCAGCAGTACCGCAAACGTGTGAGACAATCGGTGTTTGCGTGTGTTCGACTTTTGACGCATGCACGGTGGGGGGCACCTAAATTTATTTTTTTAATTACTATTTTTTTTGTTACACTGTCACTTTAAATAACATTTTTTGATCACTTTTATTGCTGTCCCAAGGAATGTAAACATCCCCTGTGACAGCAATAGACACATGACATGGAGGATCCAAACCCCTCCTCTGCACTTGAAAGCATTCATAACACCAAGATCGGTGTTTTTCAATTGTTTTCAGATTTTTAAAAATGGCGCAGAAAGTATCAAAGTAAAATGGAAGTGATGTCAGGTGATCGCTCCCGCTTTACAATAGAGGAGAGCCTATCAAAGCTAATTCCGGCTTTGCTCGGCTATCCCGCTGGGATGGGAGATCCTAAGAGAGCTGCAGGAGGGGGGGATGTCCCCACCTGCGGCTTGTACAAGCAATTGAGCGGCTAGCTAGCCGCTCTGATTGCTTGTACAAGAAAGCTGCTGGCTGCCGGCTCTAAAAAACAGTACCAGACATCACAGGCATCACTCCGGTACAACCACCAAAAATCCAGCGACGTACAGGTACATTGCTGGTCCAGAAGTGGATATCAAGTTCTGGGATGAATCCTGGGAAGAATTAGTATGATCAACACTACATCACTTTATTGTCATTCCAACCAGCGAGTCTGGTGCTGCTCCACAAAGACTCACTGATCGGCTACTCCACATGTGTTTCTGCCATTGTACTGACCAACTACCCATGGCACTCTAGGATGGACATGAGCATCTAAGATGTAAGTGTGCTACAGTATGTTTCAATAAAGTGATGTAATATCAATCTTACTACTTTGTTTTCTTTTATGTGTTTTCATGAAATATAGATAGTCTTTAATCACTTGCCTACTGGGAACTTTTACCCCCTTCCTGCCCAGGCTGATTTTCAGCTTTCAGCGCTGTCACACTTTGCATGACAATTGCACGTTCATGCAACACTGTACCCATATGAAATTTTTATCAAATAGAGCCTTTTTTGGTAGTGTTTAACCACTTCAAGTCCAGACACTTTCACCCCCTTCCTGTCCAGGCCAATTTTCAGCTTTCAGTGCTATCACACTTTGAATGACAATTGCGTGGTCATGCAACACTGTACCCAAATGAATTTTTCAGCATTTTTTTGAGACAGATAAAACTTTATTTTGGTGGTATTTATTCACCACTGGGATTTTATTTTTTTGCTATATAAATGAAAAAGTCCAAAAATTTTGAAAAAAAAGTGTTTTTCTTATACAATTTTGCAAATAAATAATCTTTCTTCATAAATCCTGGCCAAAATGTATTCAGCTATCTTTTTAGTAAAAAAAATAATAACTCAAATTATTACTATTATTATATTATTATTATTATTCAATATTTATATAGCGCCAACAGTTTGCTCAGCACTGTGCATTATAATGGGAGACAATACATGAGACAGTACAGTAACAATACAATACACGAGGGGTTCGAGGGCCCTGCTCCTTGGAGCTTACAATCTAGGAGGCAGGTACAGGGCTTATATAGCGCCAACAGTTTGCTCAGCGCTTTACATTATGGAGGGAGACAGTACAGTAACAATACAGTTAAATACAAGAGGGATTAGAGTGCCCTGCTCCTTGGAGCTTACAATCTAGGAGGGAGGGGATAGTGGTACAAGAGGTAATTAGTTGTGGGGGATGGAGTGGTAGGAGGAGTAGTGGATTCCAGTATTAACTGGGGGCGGGGTAGGCTTCCCTGAAGAGATGGGTTTTCAGAGTGCACCTAAAGGTGAGCAGAGTAGGCGATAGCTTGGGGTAGGGAGTTCCAGAGGCTGGGTGAAGCCCTTGAGAAATATTGGAGACGAGCATGGGAGGAGACAGGGGAGAGTAGGAGGTCTTGCGAGGAGCAGAGAGTATGGTTTGGGTGGTATTTAGAGAGAAGGTCGGTGATGTAATTAGGGGCAGTGTTATGAATGGCTTTATACGTCAGTGTTAGTGTTTTGAATTTTTTTCCGTTGGGCAATTGGAAGCCAGTGGAGTTAGTTTATAACCAAAAATACGTTTATAACCAAAAATTATAATTTGTAAAAAAATGTTTATACATTTTGTTTTAACATACTGTCAACCTAGCAGTACAGTGTCACCATAGTGACACTGTACTACTTGTGGGGGGTGATGAAGATTTTTTTTTTTTTTTACACTGATTGCTTTTGCACCCATAAAGGCTGTAAAAGCAATCATTTCTTCTTCTCTCTGGATGCATTCTTGCACCCATTGAGAAATACTGTGAGAGCTGTGATTGGTCACAGCTTGTCACATGGTACAAGGCTGTTGTGAATAGGCTTGTACCATGTGACCTCTGTGATCATTCACAGATTTTACAAGTAGTAAGCAATGATGTCAGGAAGTGACATCTTGCTTACTACTATTCATGTGATCACTGATTGGCCAATCAGTGATCACATGATCAGGACCTCACACAGAGGTCCTGTACAGCGATCGGTGTTCCGCTGTGTCCTCCGGACACAGTGGTCACCAGATCGCAGTGCCGCACGCTTCAGGCAGGGAATGCGGGAGGACATTTATAAATGGCCACCCGCTACTGCACTGCTCCCATCTGTCTGTTTATGTACACGGGCCAGACGGGAAGTGGTTAATCACCACTGGGGTTTTTATTTTTTGCTAAACAAACAAAAAAAAGACAAACATTTTGAATTTTTTCTTAGTTTCTGTTAAGTATTGTAAATAAAGGATTTTTCTTCTTAACTGATGTGTGCTGATGAGGCTGCACTGATGAGCATTGATAGGGTGCACTGATGGGCACTGATAGGCTGCATTGATAGGCTGCACTGATGGGCACTGATGAGATGGCACTAATGGCCACTGATAGATGGCACTGATGGGCATTGATAGACAGCACTGATGGGCACTGATAGGCTGCACTGATGGGAATTGATAGGCGGCAATGATGGGAACTGATAGTTGGCACTGATGGGCATTGATAGGCGGCACTGATGGGAACTGATAGGTGGCACTGATGGGCATTGATAGGTGGCACTGGTAGGCACTGACAGGCATCACTGAGGAGGCACTGATAGCCAGCACTGAAAGCCAGCACAGATGGGCGCTGAAAACCAGCACAGATGGGCACTAATGGGCACTGAAAGCTAGCACGGATGGGCACTATTGGCCGTACTGATGGTGCTACACTGATGAAACACTAAGAAAATGCCACTTACCAGCTCTCCTCTCAGCACGTGATGTTAGTGTAAGAAGAGGACTGCCGATAACCAGCATTTCCTGTTTACATGTGATCAGCTGTGATTGGACACAGCTGGTCGCATGTAAAAGGAAGCTCTGACTGGCCCCCTACTTGGACACCTGGTCAGTTGGCACCAACAGATGCAAGTCCCCACCTGCTTCTTTTAGGATGGAACAACAACCCTACTTCTGCCATATTGTGCCCATCTCTTTGTCAGAGGTCTTCCCTCCACATCCCCACCATTAGCTGTTATGATGAAAATAAAGGAATGCCCACACAAAAGATATACACAGATATACACAGAAGATGGCATTGTCAGATTACATCACATAGACATACCACTTGACCATCACATATAGTGGACAAACCACAGCAGTCATTATGTGAAAGCAGCACACAGTATGCTATACTCTTAACACAACTTCCCTTTTGCACAGTCTTTCTCCTTCCCAGGTCCACCAGGGAAACTCATTGCAGAGAACACTTGGCCTAGCCTGAAATAAAATGTTGCTATAGTGCAGTGTGAGCTGTAGTTTGGCATCAATTTGTTGTTGTATCTAAATCTGTTAGTAATTCTAACACTCCCCTCCCCCCAGACTGACAATGATGCTGTCCAAAAGTGTCCCCTGTGCGCATTCATCCAGAGTAGGGACACTCTAATACAAGAGGTGTCTTACTGGCCAGATCATAAGAGATAAAAAAAAGTCTTAAAAAAGAAAACTAATGCAGCCAACACATCTAAGGATTTGTAAGCTACAATATGTTGCATTTTTTGTTTTTGTTACAACTCCTGTATATAACCCTGCATAACAGACAGTCAACAGTTTGCATGTGTTTATCTGCTTGCTTCACTGCAACAGGAAACAGGGAACTTTTATTCAGTGAAAAGACATAGAGTTTATAGTACCACAGATGCAGCTACACACTTATAAACACTACAATCTACTGGTTGAAGAATATATCTCTACTGAATACTGATGTAGCTGTTGTATGTGAACACTGTATTCTAACACCCTCACTCAGCAACTACTCCTTATATTGGTCCAGTTTTGGATCTCAGTTTTATAACTTTGTTTCTTGTAAGTGGTTTTGTCAAATCATCTGAAATCATTTTATTAGTTTTACAATACATAAGCGCAATTACATTTCGTTTAACCAGATCATGAATGTAATGATGTCTGATGTCAATATGCTTTTTTTCTTGCATTGAACTCATTGGTGGAAAGTTTGATACATCCTTGGTTGTCCTCATATAGGATTGTAGGCTGAGACATTGGCTGTCCAAGATTTTCAAGCAATTGACGTAACCACACAGCTTCTTGACTGGCATAGGCAACAGCACTGTATTCTGCCTCTGTAGAAGACCAAGCTTCTGAGATCTGCTTGTTGCTAGACCAAGATATAGGACTGTTTCCTAATTTGAACAAGTAACCACCTTTGGATTTGGAAGTGCTTAGGTTTCCTGCCCAATCAGAGTCCACATATCCTACAAGGTTCAGGTCACCAACTGTAGACAGCTCCAGACTCAAGTCTTTCGTTAATTTGAGATATCTCATGACTCTTTTGATTGATGTCCGGTCTCTTTGACATGGTTCAGTCACACATCTACAAAGACGTGACCATGCAGCTGTGTTATCTGGATCTGTAGTGGTTACAATATATAGCAATGCCCCCACTGCTTGTTTGTACTGATCATCGGTAGGAAGAAGATCATCATCCCCTTCCGTTTTAAGGCATGCTGTGTCCATTATATATAAATAAAAAAAGGAATGCGCTAAATAATAAATAATTAAAACTAAAACAAACAAAATAATTGTGCAAAAAATCTAAACAACACAAGTGTCCATATAATCCTGTGTAAAGTCCAACCACCATACAGAATACTGAAGTCTTGTGTTGAACCAATAACACCGTGATAAATCCACGACCAAATGAAATGAATAAACTCACCAGAGCTATATGCTGATCAAATTATAAATCAGCATAAGGTGTTGATTCCGCTCCGTGAGGACGTCGAATGACGAAACGCGCAGGGCGGGGCTTAATGGATGTGACATCAGGACGTTCCCTGTGACTGTCGGCTGCTCGTCCGCGCTGAGCGGGACTCGTCCCTTTCCTTTTCAATGCTGTTTATGCTGGTGTCGGCCAGGACACCTTCTTTGTGAGTGCATACCTTGTTTTAAATAAAAATTTAGTGGTTTTAAATGTGCTGCACCATCATGTCCTCTCTTTAATTCCCGAGTGCAGTCCTATTTATATGGAGAAAAGATGATTATATGAATGAAAGGTTTCCATTTATGCTGGCTAGCTTGCTGCAGATTATTGCTCCTAGAGTCTGGATATTCTCTACTGCTGCAGATCATTGCTCCCAGAGTCTGGATATTCCCTACAGATCATCGCTTCCAGAGCAATAGTGCTTATGCTGATTTATAATTTGATCAGCATATAGCTCTGGTGAGTTTATTCATTTCATTTGGTGGTGGATTTATCATGGTGTTATTGGTTGAACACAAAACTTCAGTATTTTGTATAATGGTTGGACTTTACACAGGATTATATGCACACTTGTGTTATTTAGATTTTTTGCACGATTATTTTGTTTGTTTTAGTTTTAATTATTTATTATTTAGCGCATTCCTATTTTTATTTATATTATTTACACCTTTTTTTGGGTTAGGTTTGCAGCTTGGTCCTGGTATAAATTATATTTTATTTATCTTTGTTTTTGGCGCTCTTCTGATATATCTGACATGCTGTGTCCATTGGAGTACTTGCTTCTTTGGCTTCAGTCATGTCAAACAGCTAAAGCACTGCCTGAATTTTAGATTTCTGATTTAACAGGAAGCTGCCATCTTCTTCATGCGGTATTTTAATTCCTAGGTAATATGTCACATCCTCAGGATCTTTAGTCTCAAAAGTCTGGTTAAGATCTGAAGTCAACTTTGCAACTTCTTCATTTTTTTTATGAGCAACAATCAAGTCATCTACATAGAGTAAAATATACATATATTCAGAATCTACACATTTTGAGCATAGACATGAGTCAGCTCTGATTTGTATAATTCCTTCGTCTAGCAAGACTTTGTTTATTTTTAAATTCCGAGCTGATTGCTTGAGCCCGTAAAGTTATTTCTGCAACTTGCACACAAGATGCTCTTCTCCATTTTTCACGTATCCTTCTGGCTGTGTTATATATATTTCCTCTTTGATATCACCATTAAGGCTGTTGTGATATCATGGCACTTCAAAACCATTTGCGAGAAGCCAGTGTTCTGAAAGTACTTTTTATTGCAACTGGAGCAAAATTATCATCTTAATACTCACCACATTTTTGTGACTACCTTTTTGCCACTAACTGTGCTTTGTACCTACAGACCTTGCCTTCAGAGTTGCATTCCCATATAAGAAAAATATATTTGAAATATATTTTTTAAATATTCTTTCCAAATATATTGACATATATTTGAAATGCTACAATTTTGGCCATATTCAATATATTTCAGTAAATATATATATATATATATATATATATATATATACAGTCAGGTCCATAAATATTGGGACATCGACACAATTCTAACATTTTTGGCTCTATACACCACCACAATGGATTTAAAATGAATTAAACAAGATATGCTTTAACTGCAGACTGTCAGCTTTAATTTGAGGGTATTTACATCCAAATCAGGTGAACGGTGTAGGAATTACAACAGTTTGCATTAGTGCCTCCCACTTGTTAAAGGACCAAAAGTAATGGGACAGAATAATAATCATAAATCAAACTTTCACTTTTTAATACTTGGTTGCAAATCCTTTGCAGTCAGTTACAGCATGAAGTCTGGAACTCAAAGACATCACCAGACGCTGGGTTTCATCCCTGGTGATGCTCTGCCAGGCCTCTACTGCAACTGTCTTCAGTTCCTGCTTGTTCTTGGGGCATTTTCCCTTCAGTTTTGTCTTCAGCAAGTGAAATGCATGCTCAATCGGATTCAGGTCAGGTGATTGACTTGGCCATTGCATAACATTCCACTTCTTTCCCTTAAAAAAACTCTTTGGTTGCTTTTGCAGTATGCTTTGGGTCATTGTCCATCTGCACTGTGAAGCGGCGTCCAATGAGTTCTGAAGCATTTGGCTGAATATGAGCAGATAATATTGCCTGAAACACTTCAGAATTCATCCTGCTGCTTTTGTCAGCAGTCACATCATCAATAAATACAAGAGAACCAGTTCCATTGGCAGCCATACATGCCCACGCTGACACTACCACCACCATGCTTCACTGATGAGGTGGTATGCTTAGGATCATGAGCAGTTCCTTTCCTTCTCCATACTCTTCTCTTCCCATCACTCTGGTACAAGTTGATCTTGGTTTCATCTGTCCATAGGATGCTGTTCCAGAACTGTGAAGGCTTTTTTAGATGTCGTTTGGCAAACTCTAATCTGGCCTTCCTGTTTTTGAGGCTCACCAATGGTTTAGATCTTGTGGTGAACCCTCTGTATTCACTCTGGTGAAGTCTTCTCTTGATGGATGACTTTGACACACATACACCTACCTCCTGGAGGGTGTTCTTGATCTGGCCAACTGTTGTGAAGGGTGTTTTCTTCACCAGGGAAAGAATTCTTCAGTCATCCACCACAGTTGTTTTTCGTGGTCTTCCGGGTCTTTTGGTGTTGCTGAGCTCACCGGTGAGTTCCTTTCTATTAAGAATGTTCCAAACAGTTGTTTTGGCCATGCCTAATGTTTTTGCTACCTCTCTGATGGGTTTGTTTTGTGTTTTTCAGCTTAATGATGGCTTGCTTCACTGATAGTGACAGCTCTTTGGATCTCATCTTGAGAGTTGACAGCAACAGATTCCAAATGCAATTAGCACATTTGAATGGAACTCTGGACCTTTTATCTGCTCATTGTAATTGGGATAATGAGGGAATAACACACACCTGG